CATCGCGTTCAGCAAGCCACTGCGATTCTGAATGGGAGTAGAATGGTGTCGCATCTACAACGGCCAAGACTTAATCTTTGTCCTTCTGGCATTCCGAGTGCGAGGCGTTGTTGGCCCAATAGAAAAATAAGCATAACAACATCAAAACAATGCCAAAGGGTTCATGACCAAAAACATTGTAAATGAACAGTCAGCTGATCATAGTGTTCAAATACTTACGCGACAGCTGGTTGAAATGACCATTTCGTTTTTCGAAACGCAGCATTGAAAACGAAAAGTGAAGTTTTCGTTTCAAAAAACAGTCATTACTAGGTTATAGTTTTACACTGTAAAGGCAGCTGCGCTAGACAACCCATGACATGGTTTTTCATGGTATTTCGTCTTTCAGACAATGTGAAGTTCCTGGCATCTTTCCAGCTTTTTGTAAACTAATTCCTTGCTCATTGCTAAGCAGTGAGATTTTTACTGAGCATTAGTAAATGAGTGGTTTCTAAACCACATGTCACATTTGAAAGATTCCAATAAGAAAATATGAAGAAAACCATAGTATAATAGAATCATAAAAAATAAAATGAAGTGGTGCACACAGGGGTTCAAACTCGGAAGAGCCTACCGTTTTCTCCATATCCCATTCCTAGAATCACTTCAGGAGCACGGTAATATCGAGTGACTACGTATGGTGTCATCATAAATGCCTCAACAGCTGTTCGGGCTAGTCCAAAATCCAAAATCTTCAGTGTGCAATCACTTTTTACCACAATGTTAGACGGCTTCAAGTCCTGAAAAGGTACATAAACATTCATCACAAAAACAGGCTGTTCATGCTGTCATTTGCTCAAAACTAAACAAGAAGGGAAGCAATTAGACCAGAAATGCTAATAAATGGGATCAAACCTAACCAAGTACACCCCATTGCTATCCTCAAATTAGCCAGAATATTCCTATCCCTTAGTAAGGATGTCCGCTAGCTTGGAGGGGCTTGCAACATCGGCATGATGCTTACACCCATGTGACGAGAAAAAAATGATCAGAAAGAATTTTTAATAGCAGTACTTTTCTCAGTTACTGAAGTACAATCTGGATCGCTGCGTATGAAGGGGCGTCTCAGGAGGAAAGAGTTTGGCGCGGCGCCAATACCGTTGTTGACCAGCTGTTGAAGCGAGGAACCAATAAGCTGTATCATATCTTTCATGTCAGTCGTTTTCCACCAACTGTTGTCGCTCGTTCACTTCAACAACTGGTGTAGAACAGGTTTGGCGCCGAGCCAAATTCATCCTGCTTGACACGCCCCTTTATCCGCAGCCAACCAGACTGTACCGCCACATCGTACTGAGTACGTCTTTTCCCATGTGTATTTTTTGCCCTTTCTCTGCGTTTTGTGCTTTTCTCCCTTTATTCCAGAAATTTGTTCTTTCTGCCTCAAACTACCACTGATTTCTGTATAACCTGGCAGAATGGGTAGTGCGACTAAGGGTGCAAATAAATAAAGCAAACGAACCCTATGAATGATACCTGCACTATGTAAGTGCTTTATTCCACACAACATTTGATACAATAAATAAGATAATCGCTCATGATCCAGATCCATTTGTATGACCTGGAAAACATTAACATTAGATACCAGTGCTGAAATAAATGCAGCTAACTGCCGAGCCTTGTAGGCAGGGCTGGTAGGTAGCAACTCACAGACATTTTGCGTTGGTGAAAAAAGACACTGTTCATTCATTGTCGTGATTTTCATGTAGAAATATTCACCGTTCGCAACATTGCCCAGTCACAGAACGAACCGCATCCACAAAATGTTTAGATACCTACCCATGGGTGAGGGGGGGGGGGGAATCGGCGGTCTATGTAGGTGAAAGGAAGGAGAGTTCGGCGCACTTGGGAAAAGGACTGGATAAGTGACCATCAGAGAATAAGGCGATAAAATCGACCCGTCAGTTTTCCCATCTCGCCTACCCTTGCGACCGATACGTATATAGCCCTATCCGCCTATGCGCCAAATTTGTCGTAGTTGTAAACAGTGAACAACAGCTAACTGAATGGTAAGGCGGCAACAGGGATGACCGAAGTGTGAAAACACGGTTTTCAGGATTTTTTCGTTGTACCGAAGACGACTGCGTTTCATGAACTACCCTAGTCAGTCTTTAGGCAGCGTCCAGACTTCGCGACGGCAGCGCTTCGGTCGCGCGTTCAACGCGATCGATGCAGTCGAAAGCATGCGCATCGATCGCGTCGAACGCGCGACCGATGCGCTGCCGTCGTCTTCGCTACAACGAAAAGAGTGTGAACGCTGCCTTAGTACCATCATGTGTGAGGCGCGTTCACACATTGCGTTAGCATTTGGACCGTTCACACATTCGAGCGACAATGAAAGTATAGATATCGATCCAACGTTCCGATCGTATGCCAGCGTACAGCTGCGTTTTGAGAGATTGGAAAGTAAAGATATCAATCCAGCGCTTGGAGGGTAAGTCAGCATTTTGAGCATTTCGCGAGCAATTTTGAAATTGGCAGTCGCACAACACGCTGCCGTATGCTCTAAACGCTCAAACGCCGACGCATAGTATGAACGCAGCACAATACCTACAAAGACGGAAAGGGAAGAACCATTCCCTTTATAGCGGTTCGCCTATGTGCTGTGACCTGCTGCTTGGAAAGCCGTCTCGACTCATATTAATTTCGCATGTATGGGTCATAACACGTGACTGCAGAATGAAACTACAATTCGCTATACGTAAATATTTTACCTGACAAAGATTCGCATCCATTAGTTCCATAACGATATAAAGATCATTAAATTCGCTCACTTCTCTCTGCGGGGAAAAGGCGTTCAATAATCCAATTATCTGAAAGTAGCAGCACTTGGAATAAGGGCCTTTACATGCAAACGTAATCGAGGAAGTAAAAACTTGCATTTTTATGATTGACTAGATTCATAAGAATAAATTCTCTATATGCCCGCTTGGCATGCGTAACATTTTGGAATGGTCTCGACAATTTCTTTATGGCAACCGGCTTGTTGGTTACTGTGTCTGTTGCAGCGCTAAAACATGAAGCTATGAGAGGCTAGAAAAAGATGTCCCAAATTACTGGGTGAGATGAAACTTGTTGGTACTCGCCAACCAAGCGCCATTAGCGGTATTCTCATTAATATTAGTTACGCTTGTGTGGAAAATACCAAAAATTGTGCAAATTCTTTGTTCACTCTGATTTCAGAGAAAAAAGGAACTTTTCTTTTTGATTTAGAGACAAAGCAAAGCCGCAAGAATCTACAAAAAGACTTGGAAAAACAATGATCTCCGCACTTTGACTAACTGAATATAATGATTTTAGAGTTATGCACCCTTTTTCGAATTTCCACTAAATATAAAAAATAAATGTATGATTGAAACGCACCAAACAATGCCCTGAGCTCCTGAACCAATCAGCCGAAGATTTTCATATCTCTTCAAGATAACCATTTGCGTCTCTCCAACAGGAACAGCATAGTAGTTTTCCGGGATAGAAGTGGAAGCCATTGGAAAGGTGCCGCAGCTGCAACCATTTTGTTAGTAAAAATGATCTCATTGAAGACTACTATCTGTAATTCCGAAAAAACGAATAAAGAGCATTCTGGAATTGCAGCTGTCTCAGGAGACATCGTTAAATGACAGGCTGGATAGCAAATGGATAGCATCACTACAATTTGGTGGGAAAGAAAGTCCTGCAACACCTTGAACAGATAATACTAGAAAATCAAAACACATTACAAAAGTTTTATCCCTGGTTACTTAGAGGTGGTTGGCACGATAATTTGGTACTCAGCCTAAAATGCTAGCAGGACGCTATCTAGTGGGGAAAATGGCGAAAAACGAAGTGAAACGGTCGAAAACTGCGAAGAAAAGCCTTCGTTCTTGGGAAATTTCGTACGAGTTCCCAGTAGGTATCTTGCAAATACGCTACGGTAGGAACGGCTGCATGTATGCACTCATATATCCATGCAGCACCGCAGCCGCTTCATACCAATCCCTTCGCTTCATATTTTACTTAGCAAATGAAGCAATACGAGCATCAGGTACGGTCGTCCATTTGTGGGCGGGCGGGCGTGGTGGGCGTGGTCGGTATGTTGTAGCTTGATAGGACCCTTATAAGGGTACCTCCTCAGGAAAAACCGTGCGCAGCGCCTGCTCAGGGGCGCGGAATTCCGTCCTGCCAGGCGTATTAGACCCACTCATTTTAAGACTTCATCGTGCCAACTGCCTTTAAGAGTGCCCTCTGAGGTTTCCGCAAACAGTTGTGTCACGATAATCCTTCCAAAATTTGGAAGTTCTCCTAAAGGTCAAGGTTTCTACATTATGAGATCATGTGGGGCACTATGCCACACTATAGGGAGCCAACACCTGCGTTTTTTTTCCAGAAAGAAGGTTGCGTGCCATGCCACAGTGTCCCGCTGGTACAAGCGCTAGGAAAGTGGGGATATCTGATTTGCATTTAGGCAACATATGATCTGCCACCGAAAAAAGACCAATCAATTGCCCAACTTCTTGAGAACGCAGCCGAACAAAATCACCAGTGAGTTGGCAGCATCTTCAGCCTGCACTCACATAACATCTAACAAGCGCATCCCCAATCTCGGTTGTCGGGAAAACTTCAAGCGATGATTAGCACATACTGTAGCAGTACTGCAAGCAGAGTGAGTGGTCGTGCGGGAAGTTTTTGCTGTTCATACGCATTAGAAGAACAACTAGGCGAAGATGGTGGCGAAAAAAAAAACTGGTTTCCTTGCATAAACCATGCACTTATCTCCATACAGTCCCTCAACGAGATCAGATGAGCATGAAATCGGAATCAGATGAGCGTGGAATAACGGTTTCATTGTTCTGCAGATGGTACTACAAAGCCACAGCAATTTAATGCTGCAGCACAGCAGTGACAAACAGTTTGCTCCAACAATCACGAGAAAACGAACCACCCCGTGCTTGGAAAACTACCAGGACGACCCAATGTCTCCTTATCCGTACTCCACGAGCGCATTCGCCTTTGATGAGTCTACGGGAGACGGGCAAGAGAATCGTAATTCGCCGCTCCGCCGCGCGCGGCGATGGGCGCGGCGTTTTCTTAACTCGTGTTAATCGTCGATTGGAGCACTGGACTTCATGTATACCCCGTCATCGTAAACATTCACGACTTTTTAGGTTCTAAGTTGCCTGCTGTCGCCATCTACGACCTGGAACCATTGTGACGCGGCGATTCACGATTCTCTTGCCACATACCCTGAGGTCAAAAGATCATGGATTTCAATCAGTGAGGCGCGATCTCTCCGAACTTTATTCTCCAGACTTCAGCGGCTCTTCCATAACACGCTACTGTTGATGCGCGTATACGTTTCGCCTCTTCGAGCAGTGGAGGCGTTGTCCGGGCTATGCGGCTGAGATTTCCCCCCGCACCTAAAACGCGTTTCCGCGAAAAAACCGGCGTGGACGAGTTGTCCGCCTTTCGGACGAGTTTTCCTGCTCGTCGCGCGGCCGTCGCTCGCGGCGGGGCGTGCGGCGTGGGGAGGGGCTACGAGCGGACCTAACGACACACTTGGCGAAAAAACCGGCAAAAAGGGTCCCTTTGGACGAGTTTTCCGGCCAGGCGGACCTAACGACACACCCGGCCGGAGATGAAGCAAAAATGCCGTGAAATGGCTCAAATCGGCGAAGTTGTCGAAAAGAGCCACTTCGGATGAAAATTATAAGAGATTTAGCTTAGATGAGTAAAATTTCGTTAACTAAATCAGTTTGGAAATGGATTCACTACTTCTTTACGACGTAGCTCCCGCAGTTCTAGAGTGGATTCGAGAAGCTGCGCGAAAGATGGACACTTGTCCTAGCGACTAAATACCTTGTAGGCTGGAATTCACGTCCAATAAAGAAAAAGTTGATCCAAAATTTTGGTTGAAGTGTTTCAGGACTTTCTTTGCAAACTAATATGAAGAAATAATGAATCATTATAATAAAGTAGAAGCGAAAGTACTTGGTAATAAGGTGTGAAACACAAGCACAGCATATTTTATTTGAAACATGTCAGAATCAGATAGATAGCTCCTACTTTCACGACGAAACACTTTGTTTGCAAAGCGATAGCGGTGTTTTTCGTTGTTTTTTGACAAAAACGACATTTTAAAATTTTTTGACAATTTTGAGTCCATGACTGCAATAGAAAACTTGTCTTTCTGCTTACATTTGCCCTTTATAGGAAGTTTTGTTTGCGAGAGCAGTTGTAGGGCATTTAGCTGACACCTGTCAATGTAGCGGGCAATTCTGTAGAGACCTGAAGCCCTACAAAGCCACGAAATGGTACGGACTTCAATTCTAAGCCACTGCTGGTTGTTTTTCATGCTTCAAGCGCTCAAGTAGTACATGGTCGTCCTTCCTTGTGCAAGTAGTTCAGCCCCAAGGCTAGACACTCTCTCCCTCTCGCGACTCCACAGCGAGCGAGGAGCGAGCTACAGCCACTGAAAGTTCTAGTCTAACGCCCGCTCAGTTGGACCGCCCACTTGCTAGATGCCCTCTGACGGAGGGCCGCTCAGTTGTTCTTTGTTGGGGCGGCGGGCATTAATCGGAATGCATGCTTTTTTGCTGACCGCGCTCGTGCCCATGAATGATTCTGCTCTCCTTCAATACATTTTATACATTAGCAGTTTTTAGCCATTTTTATACATTAGCACATACAGTCAACTCGAACCCATCTCGCAAGGTTAAACGTAAAAACACGAGCGACCCAATTTTCGTGGTGCAAAAGCTCGACGCACTATACTACACTAAAAGAGGCACGCTACCGTATCCTAAATTCGGACTACGACTTTTAGAAGGTTTCTTTCCTCTTCAAGAGTTTTTCTTTCGTGTTTGTTTTTGTTGTTTTTCGTATTCTTTCCTTTGCATGAGATGATATCCACTACTGGGAGATGTGGTAAAGGGGTTTGTGAGCCAGGGGTTGCACAGAGACCGCAGGGAGGTGTGACTGTCAGGGAGCGATTTTGTTTATGGTGTTCTTGAGGATTCTTCTTGCTTTTTTTTCTTTTGGGGAATTACTTATCAGCTACTGTTTCATAACTGAAAAGCAACTATCAATGGCACTTTTATCGCGGGAGCTGTCTTCAATCTATTTGATGCAAGAGGCTAGAAAGAGATAATTAAGCGCCAGGGAATGAGAATTATTCGCTAAGGAAGTGGAGAAGGAGCTTCCAAGTTAGTGCTGGTGTACCAAACGGGTATGTGACAAGACAATCGCAACATACCGCATTGATAGGTGTGCGCGCGATGCCGCGCTCGACAGACGAGTTGTCCTGCCTGGTCGCTCGAATATTAGTGTAGAACGGCTAGAGAAATTCGATATCACCCGTTATGAAATGTTGCCTTCGTTTGAATTCATGAGTTTCGCTGCTCCTATCTTCGAACTGATACACACCGAGAATTTGGCCGCACAATACGCTATGCGCGGCGACGCAACAATGTGCGATTGTCTTGTCCGTATCCCATACAACACTCCAAAAAGTTTTGGAAATAAAACTCAACCATTCCGTAGGTCCACAAAATGGCCCCTCCTGGAGCTGAGCTGCGCCTAACTCTGATTTGCTCTATTTTCAGTAATTTTTACCGTTTTGCCAATACTAAAAAACAAGCAGACAAATGGCTGTCTAATCGATTCAAGGCTTTTTACGCTCACTGGCATAAAATGTCCACACTAAAGGAGGAAATTATGGTTCCGAAAGATGAATATACATGCTGATTGTCTGTGCTAATGAGCGAAGGATACTGGAGGCATAATTTGAAAGCTTTTTGTTCGGGGGCATACTATGACCTCTATTAATCTACTTTATAACAAAAAAAAATGAGTGTTGTATTGGCCAAAAAATAACACTGAAGGAAATGGCGTTAATATTAGTGGTGCATTACGGTAGTAAAATGAATGAAATCGTGAAGCGAATAAACACATTGACGTATAGAATTCCACTTTGTAAAAAGAATGACGTCGATTTCACAAAGGATTGCTAGAATCGTCCAATACGATTCCCACAAAAAAAGGAAAAGGTGAAAAACGCCAGCACTTCTTTCTGAGGCTGACTAACATGAAGAAATTCCCCACTCTAAAATTAGTTTCATATTTCTTCGAGATGGAAAATTATAAAGTCCAGATGAAAATCTGCGTAGTAATGTAATGAACTAAGCATGCTTTGCTCAACGAACAACTTACTTTCTCGGCACCGGGCTGAACGCACTGTGGCAGCTATCGAGCGAGAGCTCGTCCTCACGAGCTCCTGAGGTCGTAGCGCGTCCAGCTGTAATCTGACTTTATTCTTTGCCTTACTGCAAAAAAAAGATCTTCAGAAGTATACTCATAATTGACATAAGATAAGAAGATATCCAAACTGTTGGAAACTAAGTCGACACATCAATTACGCGATCATTTGAAAGAGCTGTGAAGTGTGCAGTAGGCATTTTGACTGCTGCTCGATCTCTTGCTCGTCGCGGGGGGCCTGTATAATCTTACCACA